ACACAACAAAATCCCCACCTAGCCCTGGTTCCATCCTAGATGGTAGGCTTGTTTCTGCTTCAAATTAAGTTACTCTAAACATGGAATATTCTTCGCACTGACACTGAAGTTCCATCAAATAGATCTTAGAGAAGGCCATTTACTTGAAGTACTAGGTGGAAGTGATTTAAGAGAATTTATTATATGAAGGACAGCAACTTAGGGTACAACCACTTCAGAGCAGAGGAGTGTGCTGCAGTGCCACCAGTGCACCTGGACATGTCACCCGCTCCGCACAGTCACGTGTCCAGATGAATTAAGGGCATCATGCTCATTTAAGAGCTGACTACAGCAGGATTGACACACCTGTCACAGGCAGGTACTTTCACAAGTGTAAGCTCCCAAGTAAGGGGCCTTTAATAAGAATCAAAGGCTCCGTATTCTCTGTGGATAGAAAGTGTAAGTTACTGCTGCCCAAAAATGCCTCTCTGAAACATCTGGAAGTGCACTGTCCATTATATACAATAAAATCACAACCAAAGGCGGGGATGGGGTAAGGCAACAATAGCTTCTGCAACAGAAGGCACAAGATAGTTTTTCATCTTCAGAAAAAATTGCTTGTGAAGCTTTTAAACAAAGCTAGAAAATTACTGTTGTTTCACAATCTAAACAATCTAGTTTAAGGTTCTTTCACCTGTTATTATAATGTCCTACTGTGAACTGCTTTGACAATTACGTTGTTTTACCTCTGTTCTTTAGGTAGTTACATGGTCATGTCCATCACAAGTTGAGTTTTTTTAAAGTTTCAGCATAATATGCATCTACACTGCATAATCAGTGTCCTCCTAATACATCTTTGTCCATCTCACATCCTCCACCTCTGTCTCCAAGGCTTCAACACTGATGATGAAACCAGAGAATGATTTTCTTTAAACTACTAGTCTGTCCCTTAATCCTTAGTACAATTCCTTCATTTTAATCTGAGTTTCAGAAGACTAGCTACCCTAAAATGTTTAAATTGGACAGAAAATTTAGAATTGGACATGTAATTTAGAACAATATACATGCTGAGTATTTTCCTGCATTAAAATACTAACTTTTTTGTAGTTTTTATATAAAAAAAATAGAAAAGTCATTTATGTATATAAAAAAGCATTTGGAACAGGCTTAAAATGTAGAGAAATTTTGTTTATTGAAAAGGTGTCACAACAGCTTTCCTTAGTGTTCATGTGTAATAAGAGAATACCAGCTCTTTATAATATTGGAGATCATTAGCACCATAAATGGATATAACATTTTTGATTTTTAAAGATGTGGGTGGTTATGTAAATAGTCCAGCTGTATTCATCAGTACACAGGCTGACCATAAAAAACGTCAACTTGTATGTGCCAAATAAACCACATAGGATAATCTCTTTAAGCATGTTTTTACCAAATTCACAGTTGACAGTGAAGTGATCATGACAGACAGCACCTCTGGAGAGAAAAGCTACAAGATGCTCCTGTTATTGCTTTTTTTAAAGTACAGCTAGTGCAATAGTTGCTTTTGGTTTGGGTTTAACACAGTGAACAAACTGCAGCACAAATCACAACTCTAGCTCTAGTATCTCTTGCACACATACAGCAAACCATAACACTCAGTTACCTAACAAAGTATCAGCTATAAAGTCTCAGCCTGAAAGTTTTACAACGTAAAAGCCTACTCTAATTGTGAAGAATTCATATAAAAATGACACCCAGTTTGCAAAGATCAGTAGAAACTACACTACCAAAGGTTTCTCGATTTGGTATTGCAGTAGTCTGCTGCGTGGTGTTTGCAAAACTGGACCCTAAAGCTACTGAACAATGCCATCTTATCTATCAGCTTCTTATAGTACACATTTTACAGCATTCATATATTACCATGTAGGGCTCCCCAGCAGACAATGTCTTTATCTTGCTTAGTTTTTCCAAGGTTGGATATACAGCTCCAACTAACATACAGAACTATGGATACACAGGATCCAACCTAGGAGAAGTCATGCAAGAAAAGCTGTCAGCTGACAAAGATGAAACCATGTTGCAGACAAAGTGAGGTCCTGCACTGTTTTTAGGGAAGTCTTGAGTGTTTTCAAAGTCACATGGAAAGCATGAGAACCACAGCCATCATAACATTATTGCTGCTTTTACTTTCAGGTTCCTGAAAGTATAACCCTGACCTCAAAAGCTAGCAGAACCTTTTTCACATCTCACACATCTCTCTGATTCACAAAAATAAACACAAACAAATGTGCTAAACATTTAAGATGCAAGAATTGATTCCTGAGGCAAAATAAGTATGCCCTAGCATGTTAGGTTTTGAAACCTGAAATTATTTTCAAGTACTAATTGTGCAAAGATTTGTCTGACAAGAATGCCTTTAGGCTTAATTATGAGGCTTTCTCAAATGTATATCTTACTCTTCTGTATTGAGCCATTTAGAAAAGACAATTAGTAGAATCAGATGTAGTTAGACAGGAGTCTAAAGCAGCACAGGCTTCAGCATAAGCAGCATTTTGAGTGGCAACAAACTGAAAAAAAGTAGAATGCAAGCCCAGATTTTACAGAAGTCACAAAGCACTGCTAAGTTTCTCAAAATATAAGAGGGGTTGAAGTTCAGTAATATTGTTTAAGATTCATACACAAACACTCCAATGGTAGAAGTAAAAGTAAGCAGGGAGATAAATTTCCTCTTGGTATTCTCAACCCACCTGCCATCTTCAATGAATAAAAAAAATAAGAAAGCAAACAGCACATTTAGAAAGCAACTCACACAGCTGAAGTAACACCCAACTGTATTCTCCATTGAGTTGGAATGCAGTTCTCTGATGATTGGTTTTACAGAGATATGCCTTTTCAGCCCCATTTATAGTTTTGAATTCAAGTGATCTTCATTTTTTAGCTACTGCCACCTTTAGTACTGCACTGTCAGTCCAAAAGAAGCTCAAAAGGATAGGTAAAAATGGCTCACAGCCGTCTGTACTGTACAGGTACAACCTGGTTTGCCTTCCAAGGGAAGCCACTGTGTACTGAATCCAATATTGCTTATGCCAGAGAAACCTCTTTCCACACCCATGTGCCTGCATGGTGCCTGGCCCCAACTGCTTGAGATGCTTTTATTTCGGACTCATTTCTGACCACTTTTCCTCTTAATTAAAAAAACAAACAAAAAAAATCCCCAAAAGTCATCTTCAAACATATTTCAGCAAAGATACTTTCTGAAAATTGATCTCAGTTGGCACAACGGAGATTATTCTGCAGTAATTCTTTGCAATGTCCCCCAGTGCTAACCTCCTAAAGACCATATGCTGAGAGAAAATGCAAGAGCTGACATTATTATTTAGGCACAGCTTGAAAAAAGAGTATTTTTCCTAGAAGAAACCCATGCACAGATACCTTAAAACACCTTAGGTACTATATTCCAAGGGATCTGCAATTTTTCCATTGACATTTACCAGAACTAAACTCAGTTATGTTTAACTATACAGACAGCAAGTAAAGGACAAAAACAATCACTTTTCATCCAGAAGAACTGGGTCAGCCACTACAGAATCATTTGAAGAAGTTCAAACAGTAACTATAATAGCATAATACAGCAACTTTTGTCAACTGTAGTACAAATAAGATTGCATGTAACATGCAGACAACACAATTTTAATTCAAAAAGTCACATACTGTTCCACCTAGTAAGAAGTGGTCTGCCCTCTCCTCCCTAGCTTGCATCTTAAAGGTTAGTACACAGCCAAGAGCCACAGAAAACTAGCTAGCTATTTGCTCAACTCCAAGTCCTTAGAAATTAAAAAAAATTTCACTGAAAGCAAGTCAAACTTATGTGGGTTTTTAATCACTGGTTTATAGCAGAAAGAAGGAATCCTCAACCAGTATTTCATATACACATTAGAGACTGCACAGTATTGCTCCTTCATCTTTAAAGATCATTCAGGCATTGAGTGTTTAGTTTGGAAAGATGAGTTCAGAACTGGAAAGTTGCCCTGCAATAAATGAGCTACTTGTATCTGGCCTGAGATTCTCATGTGCTGCTTTCTAGGTTAATAAGATTTAATCATATGGTTAAATCCATGGAAACTGAAGCCAGCTAGAAAAAAAGCTTCAGTATGGTTTAAGCATTGCAGTACTTTGTTCTTGTTTTAGAAACTATTAGTAGCAGCTTGTAGCAACAACTTATAAAAAAGTGCTAATAATATTTAAGTATTTTAATCTCCAAGCATCTCTCACTGAGTTAGGTTTTGTTCTTGTAGTTTAACTTACAGATGAGAGCCAGCACAGATACACAGCTGTACCATAGAATGATGTGCTTAATACTGATGCTTCCTTATAGGTCTGGGGTTTTTTTTGCAGAACTGTTACACAATTTAAATCTACACTTCTTAGAAGTTAGGTGTAGTTTTAGCTAAATTTCATGCAAAAAGCAATATATCATCACCATCTACTTCAGCATTTTCATCCTCCTTCCTTTTCCTTACAAATACTACAACAAATGCCCATGTCTCTATTCTCTGTTTCACAGCACTTCTGCCTGGATTCTAAGAAGCTTTATAAAGTGGCACACGAAGGCTTACTTATAAGCAAAGTTACTTTAATGGCATACTAGGATATTTTTCTCATGTGCACTTAAACAGCCAATATTTGAATGAAGCCTAATAGGAGTATTTACTTTTAAGATCCCTATTCTCAGTAACTGAATTTAAGACATTGATTTTACAATGCCTGGAACAGAACACTTCAATACAGAAGTGTTCAGTCTTATAGCATCACTAATTTTGTATGCCCATATAAGAGTTCTAAGTAAGTCCAAAACACATATATTGTAAAAATATCAAGATAACAACGGAGCTTGACAACTATTAGATCTGCCAGTAAGGCAAAACGGTTGCAGTCCATCTGGCAGCTTGGACCTATTTTCAAAATTACCCCATCTTTAAGATCCAAGGTTTATGGATTAAAAAAAAACCCAAAAACAAAACAAAAAAACCCACAAAAAATAAAAAGCCCACTAACAAAGAAAAAAATTCCCACAAACAAATATAAAAACCAACAAGCAGCTATGGGAAAGTTCATTTAAAGTTAATGGAAAGGCTTCACCTTGCACTGAAGTTAATGGATCTGTCTCTAGAACAGTAAATCCCATCTAATGAAATGAGAAAAAGAATTTGGGTTAGTACCAAATAACTTGGCATAAACTGTCTAGCCACATACTACTGATAGGAGAAAGCCAGAGATTGAACAGATTCTGATTTAAGACCCTGGTAAGTGGATTTGCAATAATCCAATAAAGAGAATGGTCTCTCATGTCTTTTAAAGACTTCCCAGTTCTGTCTCTGTTGCTGAGCTTTATTTCTCTATTACATGATGGCAGTGTATTTTAACATAATTTTTTTTTGTAGTTTCCTTCTCTCCCAACTGTTTATTTTAAGGAGGGCAGCAAATCCAGTACTAGGGCTCATAGCAATGTTTAGCACAGCTATTTTTGCTACTACGCCGCCTGTGGCGATCTTTTCAAGAAAGCAGCAGCGAAGGATGACTAACAGTTAGTACCATTCATGTCCACGAGGGAGTGCTAAGCACGTACCGAAAAAGGAGTCCATTTACAGCGCTTTCCAAGTAGACATTAGTAATTTCTGGCACTAGAACTAAGCATCGGTAGCATGACCGCTTAGCACATTTCTTTAAATGCTCAAGGTAGCGTTTTAAATCCAGATTTAAATTTACATTCGGCATTTTAAGAAAGCCCATCACAACATTTAAGTCATACTGATAGGTCAGGTGTACAAATGTAGTGGATTTTTTCATTAAGCATCTGTAAGTTCAACATGTAAATGCTCTTCAGTCGAGAGGAGCATGTTATAGACACAGTAAAAGGGCAGCTCATGTGGCATCTGAGAAATATTACTGTAACTAGGAAAAAATAGTGACCCACTGGAAAGTATTGGGCACATACTGACCAAATAACACAGGATCACTTGATGGCAGTAGGTAAAAAGGAGAAACCTGGACTTTGCTCAGGCCTACAATCTCTTGCCTCATAGGATGAAACTATACTTTAAGCTTCATGCTGTTTGTGTACTATGATCACCAAGATGTTAAATTTAGTAATTTTTATGTAGAAGTTGTGTGTTGTATTGGATAAACTACCATAGCAGTAAGAACTAGAATATACCATTACTTACCCCTTTTTATCACCTTACATATAGGTCTAAAGAGTCATCAAATACAGTTTTACCATCTAAGTTTTTAAAAGCAATTAAAAGCTATTTTGTGTAGAGAACTGGGGTTTTCTGCTAATTAAACAAACACACACATACCCCTTTGAGAGCATTCATACAATGGATAAATATTAAGCACTTAAGGGAGGACTGAGCCAGAACAGGAATCAAGTATTTTGAGCTAGAGCTGCTACTTAGACTTTCCTTCTGTATTACAATAGAAGTCTCTATCAAATTCAGCAGTAAAATGAAAGCTCACACAGGCCAACATAAGCAGTCTTTACTTGGCTCTATTTTATAAATTTTCACATTTTTTTCTTTCAGAAGCAAGAACAAGTAAAAAACTCCAAACACCTTGTCCTGCGTGAAGAAAGCTTGCTTTGCAGATCTATTACAGAAATCCCACCGAGGCATGGTGGTGGTTATGCAGACAATTAGATATATCTAGACTATCAAAGTGTTTATTTTGCAGCCACCAGATGAAAAACACTGCTTAAGCTCCTGAGGTAATGCTTTTCATCATGCTATTTCCAAGGCACGCTGACCACTAATGAAATCCATTCATAACTCCTAAAAGATATTACTACAAGTGGATTAACATGACCATATTTAAGGTATCACAAAGCTTAGATTTTAGCTGAAAAAATTATCTATGAAGTAGTACTGATATAACAGGTATCTTGGGAGATCTGACTGGTGTTGGAACACATTCATTTATATGACAGAGAAAAAAGATTCAAAAGTTTTTTGATACTGGCTTTTTAGCTCTTCATGGTCTGCTAGAAGCAAGCAAATGAAAGCACAGATCTGTCCATACACACACAACTTCAGGGGCACATTATCAGAGTCTACTGAGCTCATTTGAAATAACAAAACCAAACATCAGAATTTCTTTTATAACTAAGTTTTTCCAAAAATGTATTGAAAGGAACACTTTTTATTGTATTATTTTGATAATGCACAAAAATATTTGAAATGCACTTCAAAAATAGTCTCATGTACAACTCAGAGCAATGATCCCCTTAACTGAAAGTTATTATACTTGAATACTCTGTATTTAATTTTACAACTTTAACTGGACTTTTTAAAAATAAGTTGTCACTATTAAATTGTGTTCACACTTGTCACTCAGTTCAAGACATTCTTAAAATATGCAGCATTTCATTTATATTAGTACCACCTCAACACTTAATGCAGTTTTGTATTTTCATTAGGTTTTAGTGAAGATCTGAATATTGAGTTAACTGCAGAAATTAATACAGAATATAAAAGGCTAAACATGGTGTGCTAATTTTCTACTTTGCTTTTACAACAATACAAAACAACATAAACCAACAAGAAACAGGTAGCTGTTAATCTGTGGTTTTGTTAAATGTTCACCTCATGGTAATTTTCCCCATTATCAGCCAACTTGTTTAAATAGCCATTTTAGCTGGACTGAAACCCTGGGAAAAAAGGGAATCTACATTTAAGTTCCACCACAGTGTCATTTAATATGAAATTATTTTAGGTTGCAATTGAAGAAATGCTGCTGTTGTAGATATTTCACCTTAGCACTTTTTTGTTTGGTTGTTTGCTTTTTTTAAATTAAGTCACAGAAACATGTGTCAAGAGGTAAAAGAAAAAAAAAAAAAGAAATTCAATGGAGAACTATGGCTCACAAGCAAACCTGCTACATAGCTTCAGCATAAGATTGCTACTAAAATTAAAATGTTTATTTTAAACATAGCCCCATTTTGGACCTGGCCTTGCATTCCTCAAGCAGGTGAGAGCTGTACAACTTTTGCCTGCATCAAGAACTCTATGATCACTCTTCCCAGTAAATAGTTTAGTTTAAGATGTGTGCTTTTGTGTATATATGCATCTATATACACTGCCAGGCACTGTATAGCTATATACATGAGGCCAGCTGCAATTCAAAATTTAGATGTTGAAACTGTGTCCCCTTACTAAAAATAAAATTTTAGGCTCCTTGAGCTCTGATGTTAGCAGCTTTTTCTAATTCACAATTTCATCAGGTAGCACAACTATTTAAATATAAAATTACTAATAAAAATGTAAAAATTGGTATTTAGTAGAATACATGGGAGTTAATGGTGGTAAGTAGTATTTTAGGGTCATAAGATATTCATACCCACAGTGTGTAAAAGAAGTCAGACTTGCTTTCACAGCTGTACCAGTCACACAAAGGCCTTACCTTCATTAGCAAGAATAATGCAACAAACCACTTCCCACAATTGTGTTATTTTTTTATAAACCTCAGTACACCAATATCGTGCCTTTACATTTTAGCATGTTTTTGCCCTTACGCACTCCAGAGCTCTGAAGATGAGACTTTTGGGTGCTTCTGTGGATGAGTGATAGTAATGGAAGTGTTACTGTGGTCTTTGGCACCTCTATCTCGTTAATAAAGCAAAGTCCTGCTCCATTTTTTCTTTAATTAAAAAATCCCATCAGTGGTGTATTTCATTAGCACTGAAGAGTAGAATAGGTCTGTACAGCCTGATGAGAGGAAAACCTCTGAAATGAAATACATATCTACAATTGTCTTTCCATCAATTGCACAGAAACTTGGTCCACTTCTTCAGTTACAGTCTTCTTAAGAACTTTGGTTACAGCATTAATGTTTTGGTAAAAAAAAAAAAAAAAACAGACCAAAAATGAAAAAAACAGAGCAGATGCTTTCCTTTTTTTCTTCAGGTAGATTTTTCATTGTCCTCTCCTGTCTTCTGAACCCGTGAATACTTTTTGCATGAAGATTTGAAGCAGCTGGGAGGCCAAGATATTGGCCAGGAAAAACTGCAAGGAACAGAGCCTTGCACATTCTTCTCGAAGAAATAAAATATTGGATACCACCATGCTCGAGAGAGAAAATTCGTCTGCGAAGACACCTTTAGAGTCTGCATTGGTGCAAGCATGTAAAGAGGAAAAGGCAACTGTCAGTTTAAAGGCTTACACTCAATTATATTGAGTCAAGACAACAACAAAAATGCAATGCATTTGCATGCATTTCTGCAGAGACTGAATATTTAGCCTAGAAAACACAGAATTCAGATAGACATTATAGTCCAAATGCATACTACAAACTGAGCATCTTTACCACAAAGGGATACTTTGTTGCTGTGCAAAATTTGGGGCAACAAAGCACTCAAGCCATTTTTAATATGAATGCTTTCAGGCATGTTGTGTTTATACTGATGAATAACAGTTGAGAATTAGATTAAATGGGCTTAAGAGCTATGTTTCTACTTGAAAGTGCTGTTGAAACAACAGCAGCAGCAGCCTTCTGAACAGTGTACTCTTAATGACATTTACACAAGAATTGTCACTAGAACTGTAGGACTGTCTAGTTAATTTCAGTTGGCCAGAAATTTTATTACTCAACTACTGTTTATTCATAAGCTGAGACAAAGAAGGGATATTCTATACATCAACTACAACATTAAAACCTCAAAAGCTAAAAAAACATTTTTAAGACAAATAAATATTGATTTCTTAAATAACAATGAAGTGAAACTCCTTGCCAATTCTGTTTAAACTTCAATATGGAACATCTATTTTTATTCTGAAATTAAGAACTAACTTTTACCTTTAGGCAATTTTAACAAATGCAGGCTACACATTGATTGTGAAGGTATTTGCCACTTACCTTTTCATTAGCCATTGAGTGGTACCACCAGAAGAGCCGCGTGGTGATATAGTAGGCAATGATGACATCTACGGTATAGTGTTCGTGAGCTACCAGGATACAAATGATGCCAGCAGCACTCATCAGCCAGCAGATTAAGTGATACCACCAGAAATGACGCGGTGAATCTGTGAGACAGGGAGGTGACAGGGAAGAAGCACAGCAAAAAGTTATCTCTATTACTCTAACATTCCACAAAATGAAGGGGAAAAGATGAAATTAATTTAAGGCTACTAAATTTGAAAACATAACTCATATCACACTGGTACAGACCTCCTGATTGACTTTGATGAATCTACGTAATTAATTATACAAATTTACTGAGGTCTTCTTACTTTAAAGTGAGCACAAGATGGGTTAGACAACACTGCCAGCCATTTTCTAATCTGATTAAGTCTTCCAGTTAAACAAGTTCTAGGAATTTGGGGTGCAGTGAAAAATTGAGGTAAAACATACACTTTGGTTCATTAACTTGCGTGTATTTAATTTTTTCTTTTCACAGTCTATATTCAAGTAAGCTCAAGTCTCTGATACAACCTGAGCGGAGATCACAAATTAAACAGAAAAAGACACTAATTTTAATTCTTAGGTTTTAATTAATTTGCATGAAGCCTCAGTTCTGTGAAACAAAATACATTGTACAGAAAAGGAATTATGTGAATTTATACTCTTTAATGAAAGATTTAACAAATGGGAGCGAAGCCACTCAATGCATTTCAGTCACTTCAGTGGAAAAGTTCTCCTGTACTTCTTTCCCCATTGAAAAAACGCCCTGAGTGTCACAGTGACCATTCATAACTTCTGACAGCCTAACTGGCTTCTTTTCACTCAAAGTAGGAGGTTTTGGCATCTCTTGCCTTGTGGGGCAATGATCAGCCTTTACTTACACACAATACCAGCAGAAATGTTACTGATCTCAACAAGCCTACCCAGTAGGATCTCAGAGGCTGTAATAATAACTGTAGGGTCGTCACTTTTTGGTGTGTCAAAACAATAAATCCTCTTAACTTTCCCCAAAACACTGAAGACAGATATCCACCTACTGATTTTTTTTATTTTTTTTTTTTAAGATAAGAAGCCAAGCAATCTCAAGAAATTGATGAAAACAGCAGTGAGCAAGACAGACATACCACGGCTAAAAGTACTAAAAATATCAATAACTATTCCGGTGAAAAATGTGGTGTGCAGAGAATAAGTGAAAAAATGGCAGAGTATGAAAGGAAGAGAAGAGCAGAGCAAAAACTCCACTAAGCATAAAAACCTCAGAATCTTATACCAAAGATGTTAACAAAAGAGCAAAAAAGACTGCCATAAGCAGCCTCTAATTCAGAGCAATTTTAGGGCTTATGCCCTAGTTCAGACAACATTTTGATCATCATATGGGAGGTGAAAAAAAGGAAAGCTATACATTTCTCACTTATAGAGCACAATATCAGAGAAATATATGCCTAACAATTAGGCAGCAGTCAAAGAGCTTATTACAAAAATTTGTATGATAAAATTGCTCCAATCCCTTATAGTATAAAGTACAGAAGAAACTAGCCCAGAAAATACTGGGTTGTCTTCATCTGTCCTGGAACAATTGAGTAGGTGAATAGCATTAAAATACAAGGTAAGGGACAAAACAAGGCAAACAATAGCTCTGTTATTAGACTACTTTTTTAATATTGCTCTGGTAATTTTGATGAGTTACAAATGCCATTCCTTTAGTAATATTCACATCACAGGGAAGAACTAGGTCTAAGAACCATCAGACTATAATCAGCATCTTAAATTTCTGTTCAAAGAACATCTCAAATCTGCAATTTGCAGTCTATCAAGGACTATTCAAGAGGTCCTTTTATACTTCGGTTTTTGTGTAAGGCAGAATGCAGTACTGCAGCACCTTGTTCCCTCATCATTTTAAAAAAATGGAAGGCATCAAACTAATGCTGGTTAGTCTTATTTTTGTTTCAGTGAGAATTACACGTTCCCATAAGCCAAGCTAGCATTTGTATAATTTGAGATACAACAACAGGAGGCAAGATTCCAACTCCAAACACCTGAACTGAGAAGGGAACTCCCCACTACATATTCATGAGTGTCCAATCTCCCAGGATAGAAGCACTGCTTACCATATATTAGATTTAGAAGTCAGTGCTAAATTCTCTAACACTTCAATAGATGCTTTGGGTGCAGCACAGTTTTTTTTCCTCCCATGCCCCACAGCAATATAAAGCCAATGGGGAAACCATAACCATCATCTTCTGCATGACTGTCAAATTCTCATCAACTACAAGAAGCATTATGTAGGAGACTTGAGCACAAGACATCCAAAGAGCATGAATTAGCTTTCCATTGCTCACAGGAACTAATAAGCAATACACCTGAGAAAAGTAATTTTGCTTCTGAATGAAGTATAAGTGTGCAATGATGCTGTGTTCAAGCCACAAAATTCCCTACAACCCCTGCAGCTAACCTGCACAGAGCTAGTGTGCACAATTATTACAGCCTGTTCCATCCAAAATTTAAATAACCTGTCAACAAATGATGAAAAGCTATCTTGTTTTAATCAAGCAATAAACACTTACATAAAGATAGAGGTGACATATTTAGCCACATTTGGCCCTTAATTAAAGCCCACAACACACTTAGCCTTATCACAATCTCTAGGAAGGTGATGCAACAGCTCACCCTTGAGGCCATCACTAAGCATGTGGAAGACAAGAGAGTGATCAGGAGTAGTCAGCATGGATTCACCATAGGGAAGTCATGCTTAACCAGCCTAATTGCCTTTAAAATGTGGACAACTGGCTGGATAGATAACATGAGACAACCGATGTTGTCTATGTGAACTTCAAGCAAGACTTCTGACACTGTCTCCCATGATAACCTCACAGGCAAGGCTGGACAGTTAGTGAGGGTGGACTGAGAACTGGCTGAATGGCAGGGCTTGAAGGGTTTTTAACCAGTGTCACAGTTTAGTGCAACTCAAAGGTTCATATTGGGCCCAGTATTGTTTAACTTACTCATCAACAACTTAGATGAAGGAATAGAGTTCATCCTCAGCAAGTCTGCTGAGGATGCAAAGCTCAGAGGAGTGGCACTGTGCTGCCCTTCAGAAGAACTCACACACTGAAGGGATGGGCAGAGCAGAACCTTCTCAGAAACTCAGCAAGGGCAAGTTCAGGGTCCTGCACTTGCAAACTAAAAACTTGGTGCACCAATACAGGATGGGGGCCAACCTGCTGTAAAGCAGCTCTGCTGAGAAGAACCTGGGGCTCCTGGTGGCCAAGCTGTCCATAGGCAGTGCCCTCATAGCCAAGAAGGGCAGTGCAGCCTGGTGTATACATAAGATCATTGCCAGCAGCTTCACAGAGGTAGTCCTGACACTCTACTCAGCCCAGTGAGGCACATCTGGAGTTCCAGGCTCCCTGTACAAGACAGATGTGGAGCAAGTCCAGTGGAGGACTATGAGGATGATTAGGAAACTGGGCACCTCTCTTATGAGGAAGAAGAGAGGAAAACAGGCCTGCTTAGACTGGAGAAGTGTGAGAGGAAACCTTATCAGTGTGTCTAAATATCTGAATGGAAGGTGTCCAGAGAACAGAATCAGACCCTTCTCATTGGTGCCAAGCAATAGGACAAGAGGCATCAAGCAGGAAATGAAGCACAGGAAGTTCTATCTAAATGTGGGAAGAACTTGTTTATTGTGCAGGTGACCATGCACTGGAATAGATTGCCCAGAGAGGCTGTGAAGTCTCCTTCAGTGGAAATATTCAAGATCTGTCTGGACACAATCCTGTGCAATGTCCTCTATGGAACTCTGAGCAGAAAGGTTGTGCTTAGATAACCTACAGTGGTCCCTTCCAACCTTAATCATTTTGATTTGACTACAGCCACAGTTCCATTTCCACTCAATTTGTGTTTCAAATCCATATAAATACAGTCTGCATAGAACTGACTAGTAATTTTTGGAGGGCAGTAGTTCTACATGTACTTTTGTAATTTTTTTTCACAGTACAATGAATGTGAACAAGAAAGTGCATTGAAATACAATCACTTACACTCTTTGATGAACAGATAGACCAGCGTTAATACTACAGTGTGTCCACTAAACAGGAAGTCTCCACACAGGATGTGTGATCCAGTTATGGATAGACCACCACCAGAAATCAGTCGCAGGATTCTCTGAACCTTTGCCTGAGAGTCCCCATTCAACTGTAACACCAGAAAGAAGTAGAAAATAAATTTTGAGATATACCATGACTCAAGTAAACTTCTTTCCCAAAAACATGTAGAGTCAGAGAGCAAGGGATAAAAGGACAAATTATTTACAGTTTACTCTTAAACAAATAAACACACATTTCAAAGTTGACAAATGACAAAGATCAGTTTGGTAACACTAGCATTCTGTCTATGCTTTCCCAGGCTATTTTAAAATATGCATCATATGAGAAGGAGATGCAGAATATACTGAGAGGTAAACATTAAAAGTTTTTAAGGTCAGATCTCTCATGACAGCAGTTGACAGAATGAACAAAACCCATTAAAAACCTTGCATTAACAATTATTCTGTTATTCTGTTCAGAGCTGACCAGTATTTCCACTGAATAAAAACCTCCAACTCACTTCATTTTAGATTTAGTTACAAACTCAGTCAGGACTTAACTCATATTTGGAGGATGCACATTTTCAAAGCATGTATTAGGACCAGCTTTTGATTTCTCATAGATACTAGGCAGTTTTATCTAGCTGTTTTAAATTGTCTAGGAAAAAACCCCAAGAAAAATAGATAACTGTATATATAACTATGTTCCATAATCAGAAAAATATTCATATATGACAAAAAAAATCCAGAAATGTTACCATCAAGTGTTTTTTCAGAGTTCAAGCAATTCATCCTGGTTTAATGCTAGCAAAATGCACTTTCAGCAGAGAGATTTACATTTTCCTTTGATTACCTTTTCTCATTCCTCAGTACTATATTCTACTACATAGTCATTCCCCAAGCTATTAGAACAAAACCATTAAATCTTTACAATAGCAGCAGTTAAGGCATTTTCAAATAGACACTGATTCATAAGAGAAGTAATTCATCCACTATATCCCTAAGTTGTCTCAACATAGAAGACAACAGCCATGATGCTGTAACTCAAGACTGGAAATCTTATCCAAGAGGTGACAAATTATCCCCCCACTAAGTTGGCAGTACTTTTTTTTCAGTACAGCCAACACAACAGAGTTTATTCTGAGGAATTTTAGCTTTTTATTAGTAATCTTAAGTGGGAGTAACAGCTCCTTTATGTCACCACTTAACTGGTGTCATTAAATTTTAAAAATATTTTTATAAAACTATCAGCATATCCATGTTTCTGTATGTATCCGTTCATTTACTCAGCTGAACTTGTTTAAGTCACATTCCTGTACATTTTGCAGGCTGGAAGCAGAGACAGGCAGCTGACTTCAGGTATTGCAATAGCTCTTGACCTAATCGTGTGAGAAACCAGGCAAAGCACATAACAGTGTGTGTTCTTAAAGGGATACATCAACACAAGCTTGCATATCAGCCTATCAATTACAATATTGACCTTGGGTATCCTACTATATAAGAAAAAATATTGCTACCGTAGTAAGAGTGATTAGCTTGAGCCTCAGAAGCAGGTTGATTGATTTAGTAGCAGCACTATTTCAACCTAAGATGCTCTGAAAGGGAGCACGCAACTGTATTAGCAACTTGAGGCTCTATTATCACATGAGTTTTGGTTTACCACTACCTATGTTTCTGAAGACATCAACTGAAAGTAATTTGTGTATTCAGTAATACCTGATACATTATCTTCTATTTGTTCTAAGGAGCCATCAGGACTGATGCAGAGACTAAGGCAAGAAGCAAGAGGCAAAGACTCTTACCTTTGGCGCACACTGAAAATGCATTCCAGGCACAGGTAAGGTGGTAACGTACATGGTAATACAGCGGTATAGATACAAAGTTCCTATTATAAAAAAGAACCTGCGTCCCACTATAGATCTGAAAGTAAGGAAAGGGAGGAAACAGAGTGCAAAGTTTACATGCAGGATATTCAACAGTTACAGAGCTCTAGCTTCATTAGATAGTTAAATCCTTAAAATGAAAGAGCAGCTTCATCCCAGCTATTCACCATACACTTCTCTGAATCAAATATTAAAACACCCCTCTTCAGCTTTTAGTCTTGTTAGCTCCTTATAGTGTGAAACTCCCACCAATTTAATATGGCTTCAGTTTAACTTACAGGTGGGGTCAGGCAGTTTTCCTTAACTCTGACCTTTTCTTTATAGTCCCATAGTATAACTGCATTCTTGACTTAAATATATATAGTTTAAGCAAATAAAGACACAGGAGAAAACTTCTATTTAGCTGTAGAGGACAGTGGGTTCTTCCCCAGATTTGGATGAGATTTTCTTACATCATCACAACTTCCTCAGTTTAAACATCCCCAGGTCAGTAAACACACTTTGAAAAGCCCAACCTCAGAATAAATTTGACTACTACAATATAATTGCCAGAAATCCAGAATTCAAAAACATTCAATAATCAGAAAACTAGTATTTTCATACCTGGCATGGACACTAGAACATTCTGTAAACAAGGCATCCCTTGCTATTTTCCTGCCAGTCCTATTCTACAATATTGTTACCGATCTTACCGTAGAATTTCTTCTATTCAAACTGACCAACATAAACATACAGCAGAGAAAAAAAAACATTGCTAACTTACTTGTATCTAAGAAACAACCACTGGAATATCCATAATCCAAGTAGTATCATTCCATTAATTTCTGATACAGAAAAAGCCCATTTCACACGATCAATGTAATCAAAAAATTTGTCAGGCAAGGGAGGGCTTAGCTCCTTTGGAGGTACTCTCTCATGGACCACAGTGATCATGACAGTTGTTAAAATCAAGTTGAAGAGAGCATAGACAAAGGCAATGCCTGTTTTCCACCATTCCAGAGGAAATTTGTTCCTAGATTCAGCAGGCATAGCAATCTGGATGTAATCGGGATACTTCTTCGATGTTTTTCGCAAGCCATTAGACAAGCCCTTTGGTTTGCTAGTGCCATTTTTGTTCTCTTCACTGACTGAGAGAGTAGGTCGAGAGTAGCCACTAGAAGTCTCATTTGGCTGACCCTCCATATGCTCCTCAAGCTTTGCTGTCTCAATGGTATTCATTTCCAAGCTGTATGGCCAAAGAGGCTTTATTTTTGACCAATTTCTGGGCTCTCTGAACCGTTATTCCTTAAAGTCCAATGTTCTTGTTCCTAGATGACTTTTGTAGAACTCTAAAATGCATCCATTGTGCTTCCAAAGGAATTTGTGAAGACAAATCTTTCTTCTAGAGCTGAATCATCTGCAAAAAAACCCCAAAACAGATACTGAGAACCTTCATTAACTAGTAATGTGACAGGGAACAAAATATTCTCAGAATATGCAATTTTAAGTATTTAAATTCCATCCAAGTCTACTTACAAACACAGTCAAAAGGCAAATCACTGTGAAATAATTCAAGCTGACTCCTACTCAAAAAATCTCATACCAGTTTAAGAACTAGTACCAGCTTAGGCTTAGGGTTTTTTTTAAAGGACAAGATCCACAGACTTTAATGATCATGACATCACTTGCTTTATTAGTTATCAGAAATAAGGCTAATCCATACTTGCAGCAACATTGAATTTTACTACTTAGAGATATTCCATGCAAAATATCCTGGTTTTGACCATAGGGTTGCTACAGATAATATTGGTTGTCCATATAGATCAGACAAATCTTGTCAGTTCAGGTGACAGGACAAAAAACAGAAGGGCAGTACAGAATTTGATTTTGTAGGGCATAAATTAATTTAGATTCATCTAGAAAATCTACTCAATAGATAGCTACATTAAATATTAGATCTAAATGAGTATTCCATCAAGTCAAAAATGCATTTACATAGCCACTGTAATACCCATTAAATGTCTGAAATTTCAGATAACTGAGACATATACCCCTAGGATTCAATTCTTAGTTTTGGTACACTACACGCAGAACAGACGACAAATGAACCTGTGCTTGTCCTTTAGCTACTTTGAGAAAAAAATCTATTTTGATGGTTTTTAAGCAGGAACAAATAGAAAGAGTCATTATTACTCAGGATTTATTTCAGGCTGCATTTGCTAATTCATAAAAGTTTTGTAAGCTAAAAAAAAAACCCAGGTAACCTATTTTTCTGTTTGGCTCCTATGGCAAAAATAGTATTACCATGTATAAATTGCTCCCCATCTACAGTAAATTGTGATTCTCTTTTATTTTAGTGGTTCATGCAAGAGGAATTCAGTACTGCAGCCCCCTCAAGTCTCTGCATGCCAACACAGGCTGCCAGTCTGCCATGCTTTGCGTACAATTAAGTCATCATGATGGCAGCTAGAGCTGACAGTCTCCCTAACCATACACCACAGGACTTGGCTTAAGAACATGCAACCTGCTTAGAGGACAATCTAAATCAAAAAGAGCCTGGAAAGTCAAGTGATTGTATTTTGGTCCCTCCAGCCTCATCCCACCCAAACAGAGAAGACATTTAACACAGTCAGCACATAAATCCAATTGATTTTCTGGGTGCTGCTCCAACCACCAAAAAAGAGAAGAGATAAAAGTTCAGATGTGAAAAATGAGATTCATACAAATAATACTGAAATAGCTGAGAAGCATTTCTAAATTTATCCCCCAGCAGTGCTTCTGAAATCCATTGTCATTGGTTGACCTTTTCTAAATACCTGGTCAACAAGTGTATTATAACTATCCACACACAACACACACAAACAACAAACACCCAAGAAAACAAGTGGTGATTTTTGATGCTTTTTCTCCCTCTTACCAATCATATTGTGATCTCTGCATCTCTAAGAAAAGGGCATGTTTAACCCATCAGCCAGGCAGCAACTTCTCTGATGCTTCCTACAACTAAAAATACCCTTTTAGAGCATCTACAAAAGCAACAGCCTTACTCAAAACTATACCAGAATAATATTTTAGCTTTCACAAGTCTTCTTCTTAACACACACACACACACTTCTATTCCTCCTGCCTACTAAAGTTAAGCATAAGACAGAACATTTTAGTGACAGTAGAGAAAAAAATCTGAACCTAATTGCTTATGTTTGGGAATGCATATACCTAACATTCATCTACTAAGTCAAGACTTCACTTCTCACCATTATGTTACATATAGCAGTCACTGAGGCAGCAATCAGCAAAACCTGGTAAATTTTACATCCTGTGCAGTTGAAACATTATTAGAATTAAGCATTTACTGAGAGCAAACTACCTTTGGTATTTCCTTCTCTTCCCCACAAACACCTAACCTAGTGTGCCTGGTTATATAAGTGAAAGATCTTACTTTCAGATGATTAATGACATCCAAGTAAGCCTTAAAGATAAAAAAGTATCTGAAGTACAGATGAACAATAACCTAAGAACCTAAAAAGCAGAGTGGTGCTCATGTTCTCATATTAACTTATTAAGCAAAACAATTATAGCTACAGCTTGCAGAAGAAAGTTGTGTTCCTTCCTGGTACTTAAAAGTATGGATTGTAAAGCATATTGATCTACCACTTCTGATGGCTCATCAAGATTATTTCAAGCAGAGTGCTTACTGTGGCCAAAAGTTTGTTTACATTGATAATTAAAGGTGCTACATATCATCAGATGAGTGATCTGTAAGAAGGTAAGTGCTTCCTTTTATAGTACCTTTTCAACCTCTTTCTCCCATATTCTAAAAGAAATTAGCAACCCTATTGATGAAAAAGACAAAAGTCCCTCTTGAAGCTCTCAGTCACTTGCTGCCAATCTGACTGGCCAGAGAAGTGACAGATACAGAGCACCAACAGCCTCATCATACTCTGCTACTAGCTGTAAAAGGAACTCCCCAGAAGTACACAGGTTCTTCTGCCAAGTTCCTGTCCCCAATTCAAATATCCATTCACATACCCATAAGGGGTGTAGTTCCTTTTAGCTTCATGTTGTCCTTACGATCCTTTAGATAAATATCCGTTTGATTTTGTTGTCAAATCCAAAACATCCTCATATCAAAACCAGAAGATGCCCACAAACTGCCTGGTAGAAGGCCTTAGAATTCTTCAGCATCTAGGCAGCAATTCTTAGATCTGGCCATCTTGCCAACACCTAGATATGAAAGACCAGCTACTGGGGAGGTCTCAAACTCACAAAAAACTGGCCAAATAACCCAAAAGGATAAATAAAATTCTTATAAGGGATACCTACAAGTTTTAGGAACAAGTTTTTTTTTTGGAACCACTTCTATACCTTCTAAAAATAAATGTTACCTCATGAAGAAGCAGAGCTTCTTAACCAGCAGCTTCACAGCAGAAATCACAGCTGTCTCAAGGAACAACATATTTCAAAGAAAATCTTAAGTAAAAAGACTCTAAAAGAAGATGATCCTAATATTTTATCCTGAGCTCCTGCCTGTTCCCATGCAAACAGCTCCCTTAGTTTTCTGCATCCCCACTTGACTGTCTTTTGAAAGAAAATAGTTGATGGGGGGGCACGGCTTTGAGGCAAGCATCAGAAAGCATGTCTGCATTTGGCTCTTTATGCTAGAACTTAAGAATAACATGGAGTTTTATTTAGCTTGTTAGTCATCCGATTTTCATCTAAAGGTCACTTTCACATAAAGTTAGCTCCCAACTGGTATTTCTCATCCAGTATTGGAACTTCAACATTTCTCATAATATTTTCATTCCTATAATTTATGAAGGACTGAATAGTTTGCACTATACAATTTGCAAAGGTTTTAAAATAAGCAGCTTTTAACCTGCTGTTTCAATACTATTTGAACAAGAGCATCCATACCATTGAAACTGATCTATTCTGACATTAAGAGAAACTATACCTTCATATACAAAATGGAAAAGATTTCTGACAGTACTATTTTGAAGCATAATACACTTTTGTTAAGGCTGTCTCAAACATTTGATACAGCTGTATTCTTGTATTTGGTTGCTGCAGAAAAAGGGTCTGTAAACAAAGTACAATTTGAAGTAACATGAGAGAACATTTTAATATATTTTATCACAGTTACTGGGAAAAAATTGTTAGATACCTTGCATTTTGGTCAGTTAAATTTTCAGGACTACCTGTGGAACTAGAACTAAAAAAGAAGCAAGGTTACTGATGTTATCTAGACAGCAGTGAATAAAAACTTGCTTTTAGGGATTTCTCTTTAATTTTTATTTTTAAAAGCATTCCAGGTCTCAGTTAATTTGTATAGTATCCCTTCTTCCAGGCTATTATGTACATCTGACAGCATGTGGACTGCTAGAAGGGAGAAAAAAGAAACCCATCACCACTGAAAACCTCCAAAAGACAACTGCTGTGATGGTAAAGAACTGCAAGTAAAACAAAGCTGGATTACAGAATTAATCCATTCATTATCATCACATTATCACTTGCAATAAATGTTAATGCTTTTTATAAAAAGTTAACTACTTATGCCATATAAAATTCTTACCAGCAGTAGAAACAGAACAGTTACTCCCTCTACCTTGCAAGTCCCTCATTTGTAATTACTAATATATGAACAGAAAACGTCTTTAAGAACTAAGTCCCTACACTTCCCTAAATAGAGGGCAAAAGCTTCAGAGTTACAAATTATCCATTTATACAAACCAAGTTTTACCAGTCCTCTGGAATTCTGTTTCTTCATACCTCTTAATAGTAAAGTGTTTGTTAGGTTCTGTTTTCCTAGTAATTCATTATCTGGTGTGTCAATGCAGCAGTGTCATGTTTCTGAAACACTATGTCCCAAAAAGCACAAAAAAACCTCCATCTGTAGCACTGCAGAATGGTTTGGGTTGAAAGCTACCTTAAAGATCATCTAGTTCCAACCCTCCCGCCTTGAGCAGGGATGCATTCCACTAGACCAAGTCCTCAAAGCCCCATCCAACCTGTTGCCAGTAACTAAGCAAGCAAGGAAAAAAGTATCTTTAAGCTCTTTTACATTTTGAACACTGCTGAGTAGGTTTGCGTTAACTGCATGAAGGCATCTTCAAACTCTTGAAATGTTTGGTCCCCAGGCTCCAAAGGACTGTATTTGGTAATTAAGAGGCTGATGTCCTTTGAAGGTGACACCATGACGTGGCTAGATTTTCTTTGTGATTATTATTACCATTATCTTTCAAGAAACAAGATCACAATAGCTGTCAAATATTTCTTATCTTTTAGTGCTACTGTAACTCATTCCAGAAATAATCCACACCTACATGACAAGGTCAGTTTTGTTTGCAGGTTAACAGTCTTTCCTAAAAAAAAAAAAAAAAGAGTTTTGAGAATGGTCAGTCATACATCTGTAGAACC